CCTAAAGAGAAGACTGTGCCGCCTGCTGTCTCTCTGGGCCTGTGGCCTGTTCTGCTGTGTTTGAGGTGCCCCTGTGCGGTGTGCTCCTGTCTGTCCCCAGGGCTCTGGCTCCGTGCTAGTCAGCTCCCAGACTTTGTTTGGCTGGGGCCAAGGACTTGGCAGCGCAGCCCCGGCCTCAGGGCTTCTGCAGCAGGTTTGCATTAGGGGGACTCTTGGCCTCCCAGGTCTCCTCCTGAGCCGCTTCGTGGAAGTGGCAGCTTCAGCCTCTGCTGCATCTCTTCCTGCGTCCCTGCCATCCTGCGCATGGGCGGTTTCTGTACTCGCTTGTCTGGCTTCCCTGTGTGTGCTCCCTCCCTGCATGCAGCTTGTTTCTACACACGTGTAGCATTCCCACGTGTGCTGTTCGCATCCCTGGGGGCCGTGTCCTCTCCCGGCCTGCATGTTGATTTCATGCCTCTCTCTCCTCTCTGTGCACAAGTGTCATCTCAGCAGCTCGGTCGTCTTCCTGTGCAGGTGCTGCCTCCGCATGTTGTGTGGGTGTGGCCTGTGTGCCGTCTCCATGTGCGTTCTTTGCACATGTGTCACCTGTGCCCACGTCTATCTTCCCTGCACATGCATGTCATCTCCAGATACTGGCCGTCTTCCCGGGAGTGTGCGATCTGCACGTGCATGTATCCCTTCTTTGTGCTGTCTTTGCATGTGTGTCATGCAGGCCATATGTAGGCCCATGCAGGCCATATGTAGGCATCGATTCCAGGAGCGTGTCTCCTCGGCACATGTATTTTCTCTGTGTGTGGCGTCTTCCTACATGGGGGCTACCTCCGTGCATGTGTCACCCGTGTACACGCAGGTCATATGTGTATATGCGTGCCATCTCCACATGCCTCCTCTGCACATGTGCATCACCTCCACATACGTGTCATCTCCAGTGGTGCCATCTATGCACATGTATGACATCTACACTTGCGTGACCTCTCTGCCCATGTGTGCCGTCTCTGCACAGGTGTGTCATATCCGTGTGTGTGTGTGTGTGTGTGTGTGTGTGTGTGTGTGTGTGTCAGAGCACAGGCCCTTTTCTAGGAGTCCGTAGAATGTAGCAGTGTGGTCTTGGCACAGAGGTCACTATCCTGATGTTTCGGGGCCCAGCCTCAGCCCTCCCCAGGAACTCTTCCCTCCCTCTGCGGGCAGGCACTGGTGCACCGCTCACCCTTCCCGCACGCGCAGGGCCAGGTCTGACTTCCTCACCTAAGCTTCCTGGAAGCAGAGGTTGGTCTTTCTCCCCCCTGGCTTCTCCCAACAGCCCCGCCTGCAGCAGATGCTTCATTAACACAGAGCTGTCTGGAGTGGGGCTGAGGTCCAGGCCACCTTGAAGAGCCCCTCACACTTGGAATGCATTAGGTCTATACAGTGCTGCTCTGTGTTTTCAGCAGAAGGAACCCAGAACCCCCGGCCCTGCTCTTTCCTCGAATTTCACGCAAGCAGCTGGGAAATGCGAGTGCTGTTTCTGAGATGGAGAAGGGGTTCAGGGAGGGCAGGGGCTGGTCCAGGAGTCAAGTCAGGGGTTCTCCTCTCACGTTTGGGATGCCCAGTGGCGATACTGCCAAGACTCAGGTGATATTTTGCTGTGGAATCACACATGGAGGCAGAGGTGGCTGCGTGGTGCCGGTGCTCAGCTGCTGAACAAATGGCTGGAGGTTTCAATCCACCCAGAAGCCCCCCAGTAAAAAGTCCTGGCTATCTACTTGGGAACAATCACCCCATGACAGCCATATGCAGCACAGTGAATTAGAGTCCCTGGCAATTGGCTTTTTGATATGCGGTCAAGGTCAAGGATGTAATTGGAGTCTTGTTGGCAGATACATGAAACCTTGAGCCGTGGAGTCAGGGAGTCTCTGGGTAGAGCCTGCAGCGAGAGGAACTGGGTAGGACCAGGGTAAAGACAGGATCGCAGTCTTTGGGCACATGGAGGGTGGTCCTGATGAGGGCAGGGTCAGGGAAGGGGAACTTTAGAAGCCCAGCTGGGTGGGTAGGGGTGAGATGTGGAGGCATGGACCAGAAGGCAGAGAGTATAGACAGCTCTGCTATGGAGGGAAACAGAGAAATGGGGCGGTGGCTGGACAGGGGAGAGGGAGGGAGTTTTAAAGATGGGAGAGGCTCCATCCAGTGTGCTTGTAGGGGGATGGGAGCAGTCCAGGAGTGCAGGGGAGAGGGCTGAACCCCTGGCAGAGAAGGGTGGCCCCAGCCACAGGACAGAGGGCACAGCTGTGGGATGTGGGAGAATAAGGAGGCTGCCTGGCCTTGTCTGTGTGAGCCGTTTTAGAGAAGTGCAACAGACGTGGCAGGGAAGAGCACCCCGCAGCAGGGAAATGGGTGGATGGTTGAGGCATCTCTGGGAGAGTAGGCTGGCAGGCAAGGGGCTGAGAGTCACGCCTTCCTAAGAGAATTGTTATGCAAATGGGCCATGCAGTGCACTGGCTGAGAAGTGGGGACTAGAAGGGGTGTTGGGGATGGGATGGGATGGAGTGCAGGGACAAGGGGAAAAAAAGAAAGTAAGAAAACCCCAAGGGGGAACCGGGTCCGAACCCTAACCCCCCCCGCAACCCCCCAACCCGAGGTTGCTGAGGGCCGTCTTGCTTTTCTGACGGTGGACCGTTTTCAAGCAAGATTTGCTGGACACCTAGGCCCTGATGCGGGACAGCCGGCCAAGCGTGGTCTGTGGCAGTAAAACCCTCATAATGGAATTTCCAGACTATGTTTAGACTGAAGAATGTGCTCTCCTTGGGAGGTGGTGGGCTGCCTGGACCCTCCGCACCTGGCTCCATTGGACCACCATCTTGAATTGGGCTCTCCTGTGCCAGCTGTGAGCCAGAGCCCAACCGGAACATTTGACAAAGGTCAAAAAACCTTTCCCAGAGAACCTGCAGCCAAGTGCCCCTGGCACCTGCCTAAATTTCAACTGGGGCCCTAGGGCTCCTTTCTCTCTACCTGACTCGGCCCAGATGGAGCCTGGGCTTCTGCTTGTCCATCAGCATGTGTTCTGACCCTGGGTGAGGACCGGGCTCTCTGGGTGGCATTCTCCCAGGGGGGTTTGTTGACTCAGTGGAGCCTTGCCTCTCCATTTACGCATCAACACATGCAGTTTTAAAATAAACACAGATCCCCACAGATCCATACCAGTGGAGAAACGATTCCAGCTTTGGTGGTGTCGTGGTTATGAGTTGAACTGTGACCCGCAAGGTCAGCAGTTCAAAGCCAGCAGCCGCTCCCTGGGAGAAGACAGAGGCCACAGGGCAGGTCTGCCTTGTCCTGCAGGGTCGCTGTGAATTGGCATGGCGAATTTGGGTTTGGGGCTTTCAACGGACGTGACACTAGCAGTCGATAGTCACCTGCTGACAAACTGAGCTGGCTCAGAGACAAGGTGGTGTCTATGGCAACAGCTGCCTCCCTGGCTGTCACATGCCTGGGACTGCACGCTGGCCTTGCAGGCTTCTCTTGGGAGGAATTGGGGCCAGAACGCCTCCATCAGCAGGGAGTGACATCTTTGCAGTGGACTGGATGTGCCCAGACGCACTGGATAACCCACATAGGTCCCTTCCCCCGTCGGGCATCACCCCAGCACTAGTTGCTGATGCGTCCATTGCAGCTCGTGACGAGCCCGCAGGAGTCACGGGAGAACTGTGCATGGTCAGGTTTTCCCCCAGAGGTGGATCGCCAGGCCTTTCTTCCAAGGTGTATCTGGGTGGATTCGAACCATCAGCCTTTGTGTTAGCTGCCAGTTCCAGCAGCCCTGTGTACCACTGAGACAGTCCCATCAGCCACGCACCTCCCAGTAAAGACTGCCTGGAGGCAGGTGTAGGAAGGGCCTCTAGGGAAGACACCTTCTAGTCCCATAAAGGTCTTAAAGGCTCTTCCTAAAGACACAACCTCACACTAGACTGAAGGGGGGCGCGGGTAAAGCCACGGGCATCAGGTGGCTGCTTTAGGGGGCAGGACAGCTTCTGTTCATACAGAGAAGGTCCAATAAATGCACAAAAACCATTTCTACCTTCACTGCTCGACGCCCACAGCTGCATCCCCAGTGCCTGGAGCGGTGGCTGGCACAGCAGGCATTCAATAGGTATTTGTTGATTGAGTGAACCAATCCAGCAAATATTTATCTGAGTGCCTATGATTTTCCAGGCACTGTGGGAGGTGGGCTGGCTGTATTAGCTTACAGAGATGACGTGTATCTGTGTGAGCAGCTGTGCCCATGTCCACACGCATCTGGGTTTCACACACAGGTCCCTCTGGTGACAGCCCTTCATCAGGCGCTAATTACACCTTGGCTGGACTTGGCCAGGGTGAAGTTTTTATTTCCAAGGCTAATATTTGCCTTTTAGGGAAGGAAATCTTTTTATGCAGGCAAATAATTAGGTTATAAACAAATAGAGTCTGCACCCGGGCTGCCGTCCCTTGGCTGGTTGGTCCCTGGCACACACTCGCTATTCCTCGGTGGGGTGAGTGTTTATGAATGCAGTGCTCACGTGTCCACTTCCCTGTGTGTGGACACACGCACGAGAGCCGTAACTCACAGTTAATAGTGTTCCGTGTTGGAGTCAGAGGCCAGCACGCACCTTAGAGACAGTTAGCCCTTGCTGCTAGTTTCTCCCATCCTGGAGCTGGAATGTGGTGCTCACGTGTGTGTGTGTGTGTGTGTGTGTGTGCATGTGCGTGTGTGTGTGTGTGTCCCTGATAGCAGGGACTCCTGCGCCCCACCCCTTTGGAAACAATGAGGCCTTTGATGGAAAGTTAGCTGGAACCCCAGGCTTGGGGGGCAGTGAAAGTGGCCTGCCATGCTGGAAAGGGAGGTGAGTTTCCGTGCTGCTCCCTGTCCTGCTCCCTTCTTGGTCTCAGCAGAGCCCCTGGGCGCGCTGGTGGCGTACACAAATACTCCTCTGTGTGCCTGCTGCGTACTCACCCGTCTTCTCTCTCCCCTGCCACCCTTGGCCGCCCTGCTTCAGGCCGGCCTGATCCGCACGGACACCTCCGACTACTTCATTGAGCCTCTGGAGCGGGGGCAGCAGGCGGAGGAGGCCAGCGGGAGGACGCATGTGGTGTACCGCCGGGAGGCTGGCCAGCAGGAGTGGGCAGAGCCGCACGGTGACCTGCACAATGAAGGTAGGCTCGGGGACCCACTCGACTTCTGCCCACACCTCCCTCCGGGTAGGGCGTACACAACTTCTGGCCTTCATTTGGCAACTCCAAACCATAGGCCAGGAGCCCTGGTGGTGCCGTGGTTACAAAGAGGGTTGCTAAGGACGAGGTCTACAGTTTGAAACCATCAGCCGCTCCTGGGGAAAAACATGGGGCTTTCTAATTCCGTAGACAGTTACAGTCCCAAGAACGCACAGGGGGCAGCTCTACCTGTCCTATAGGTTCTCTATGAGATGGCGAGGAGTTTGGTTGTTTTTGTTGAACATCAGGCTACTCAGAGCAGAACCTCCAGGGCAGTATAGAAAGCTTAATCTTTTGCCCAAGGAGTGGCTGATGGTTTTGAACTGCTGACCGTATGGTCAGTAGCCTAATGCATAGCCACCATGCCGCCTGTCCCCATGTCTTGGAATAGACGAGATGGCAGTGAGATTTTGGTTTGGATCCTCGGGCTGTAGGGTCTCTGTGAATTGGAGTCCACTGATGGCAGGGGACCTCTTCTCCTCGTCTGCTCCATGGGCCTGGCCATGGGGACCCACTCTTCTAGCTGAGGAATTCCGGTAAGTTTCCAGAGTTCTATGGCCGGCTGGAATCGGAAGTCCATGGAGTCACCTGTGCCCCTGGAACTCTGCTCTAGGGGCCCCTGGAGTTCTCTGAGGGCCTTAGCATTGCTTTGCAAGGCTATTTCTGAGCCACGGCAGATGGAAGAGTGGCCACAGTTAGCTCACGCCTATTAAAATTGTCTCGACCCGCTGGGGGCCCAAGAAGGAAAATCTCAGGGCATCACAAAGAGACTGGCCAGTGTGTGGTCATCAAGGTCAGCTTTGCAGTCAAGAGACCATTTGGAAATCATGGCCCCAACACAGATGGCTTTGTGGCCCCAGGCAAGTCACTTACCATGGCTGCGCCTGCTTTCCCTAATGAGTGAAGGGACAATGGTCACTGTCTACCTGGTCAGGCGGTTGTGTTTGGTGGGGGCAAACCTAAAGATGCTAGCATGAAGCTTGCATGCGTGTACACGGTCCCTGATGCCTGGGTGCTCTTGTGGCGGACAGCATCCTTGCCACATTGATTCAGTGATACTCCCTCACCTTTCCACCCCATGGTGCACAGCAACACGGGCCTGCTGGGACGGGGGGTCCGCTGAGGACAGGGGGTCCCTGCACCCCAGACCCCCGTCTAGGAGCTGGCACACCCAGGGACTCGGGACTCATTGCTGAGAGAGCAGAAGTGGCTTAGAGGGGATGCTGGGCCTGGGTTTATGGCCAACTTCACAGTTGGACATAGCTGTACCATGAAGCCCCCTCAGCCTAGAGCAGGTGAGAGTGCCCCTTGGACCGGCTGGTGGGGAGTGGACCCCACCCTGACGTTGGGACCCTGGCAGGCTTGGGCCTTGGGTGAGGGAATGCCTGGAAGCAGTTGTCCCCAAATGTGGTGCCTCCTTTGAAGCGCCAGCTGCTCTCTCAAGTGTCACTAATAAGAGAAGTCACCTCCCCCTGAGCCCTGGGGGGCTTTGATAGGCCTGGGGTGGGACGAGGGCTGGGGAGCCCAGGCTGACTTCATAGGCTGTCTGATCGGTCTGGTGGCCAACGTCCCCCATCCACCCTGGGTCACTCTGGGCAGATGCCAGCCCTCCCTCCCCTGGGTTTACTTTCTTTCCCCCCAGCTTTGAATCCAAGGGCCGTAAATCACCCCATTGGCGAGAGCCTCTGTGGAAGTCCAGCTCCCAGCTGTGACCCTGGTGGCAGCCACCTCACCTCCTTCCCCATGATGGGCCACAGGGAAGACTGACCCTGAGCTGGGTGGAGGTGGAGTCCAGCCCCATGCCAGCTCTCACAGTGCTGCCCGACTCAGGGAGTCCCTACCTCACACTCTGAGCAGCTCAGATTTTTTTTTTTCCACCAGTGAAGAAATTCTTAGCTCTCCTTTGAGCCTCATCCGAACTGGGAGAGAGGTTACGTCCATGTTCACTTCTGGAAACCGCAGCCACAGCCATCCCCGACCCCTCACGGCCACTGGTGTGTCAGGCCTGTACAGTGGAGCCCAGCTGGATGCCTCTGTGGACACCTCCTTGGCCCTGGAGGTGATGTTCCCAGATGTTCTCATCTCCCAATGCTACCGTGTCCTTCCTCACCCTATGACCCCATTAACCTCCTGTCCACCCTCCATGCCCTTTCTGAGGAGGGAACTGGGTCAAACGGGGCCTGTGCTCCCAGGCCAGAGTTCCGGTTCCCAGACCCCAAGCTGCTCACCTCAAGAGGGGCGCAGTGCCAGGGCTGCTGCTCTTTATTATTGAGACCCAGCTCACCTCACAGAGAACGCAAGCCAGCAGTTCAGCTCTTTGGAAGTGTGTCATTCTGTGTTTTGTTTTTAGGGCATGCACAAGGGCAAGAAGCCATTGCCGCAAAGAAAGAAAGAAAGATCATTCCAGAACATTTCTATTACATCCACCATCTTCTTGGGACGGTTAAAGTTGTGTGCCAACGTGGCTGGGTCATGATTCTCAGTGGATTGGCAGTTATAAAGAAATGTGGAAGTGTGTCATTCTGTGTTTTGTTTTTAGGGCATGCACAAGGGCAAGAAGCCATTGCCGCAAAGAAAGAAAGAAAGATCATTCCAGAACATTTCTATTACATCCACCATCTTCTTGGGACGGTTAAAGTTGTGTGCCAACGTGGCTGGGTCATGATTCTCAGTGGATTGGCAGTTATAAAGAAATGTGGAAGTGTGTAACCATGTGGCCGGCCACATGGTTACATAGCTCTAGCCCATCAATGATGAGATCTGCTGTGAGCAGCCAGTCAGTTGAAAGGGAGTTTCTCGGGTGTGTGTGTGTGTGTGTGTGTGTATGTGTGTGTGGCCTGCTTCCAATCGATGTGGACATTCCAGCCCAGCTCCCTGGAGTTTCACGTTATTTGGATTCTCCGTCTGACTCATCTCATCTGACTTCTGGCTCTTTGGCCTTGAATCAGTGGCCTGCCATATTACCTGCTGACCTGGGATTGTTAGGCTCCACAGGCTATGAGCCCTATTGCCTGCCAACCCCGGGTTCATCAGCCCCCACAGCCAGCAACCTGCCCTCCTGCCTGCTGCTCCTGGGCTCACTGCTTGTCCCTGCAGCTGTGCAAATCAGGGGAGGCCTTCAGACGGACACGGGACCCATGGACTGGGCACTGGCCAGCCTCTCCAACTGTGTGAACCATTTCCTTGAGATAAGTCAGCTTCGCTGGGCTCGCTTCTCTGGCGAAGCCATGCCAAGACCCTTACTGGACAGTCACTCCCATCTGCCCTCTCCCCAGTCTCTTGCCAACCACGACTCCACTGGCTGTCTCTGTGGCTTTGTCTCCTCTGGGCATTTTGTAGATAAGAAGGGATCTTCTCGGGGAGTTCTTTCACTGAGCAGAATGTTCCCAAGCGGTATCCCTGCCATAGGGTACCAGCACGCCTTCCTTTCTGTGACGGAGTGCTATTCCACGGTGCAGCCACAACACCTTTTGCTTATCCATTCACCAGGGCATGAGCGGCTCAGTCATTCCCACGTTTGGGCGATTAGGAATACCGCTGTGTGAACAAGGGTGTGTGGGGACATGTTTGTACTTCCCTTGGGCATATACTGTGGGTCATATGTAGCTCTGTGTGTAACTTTTTGAGGAACTGCCAAATGGTTTTCTAAAGTGGTACCAATTGTTCACATCGGGCTGCTTGGGCGGGCACATTCCAAGCCTCTCAGCACTACCAGCTGGTCCTGATGTGCCCCAAGGGCTCCCTACTTCTGGCCAGAAGGCTGAGAGACATAATGGGGAGAATGTGGCTGGGATGCGCCCAGTGTCTGCGACTGATGTCAGCAGACTCCCTGCCCCTCCCTCCCAGGTCCCTCCACGGCTGTGTTGAGGGTGGACGGACCACGTGGCTCCCTGAAGGTGGTGGTGATGGGGAGAGCAGACCTGGGTGTAGATTCTGTCCAGGTAACGGGCTATGTGACCTGGTGTTTTGGTTTCCTCCATCTGCCCTAACGAAAATGCCTCTAGTGGTGCTTTTAAAGGAACAGAGATGTATTTGCTCGCAGGTCCAAAGGCTGGGAGTCCACATTCAGGCAGTGGCTCTGAGTTTCTTTCAGCTTCTGTAGCCCGGTGGCAGTGGTGGCAGCGGCAGCGGCAGCGGCAGCCCTCGGTTCCTGAGCCCTTGTCCTATGGCGGAACCCCCATCCCCGCCCCCACCACTTCCTTCTGTGCCATGCCTGCTCTCTTTACAACTCAGAAGTGATTAGGTCTTTCGGGCACTGCCTACGTGGTAGGGCCTTATGAACAGAACAAAAACTCAATTCCCAAGGGGGCTGACATTCGCAGGGATGGGGGTGAGCACATATTTTGGGGAAACCCAATTCCATGCCTGACTCCCTGAACCTCCCTCCTGGCTGACCCAGCAGAAAGGGGGCACGTTGAGTGTTTATTTCATTTGTACTATGCTGCCAGCCGGTAAAAAGAGGAGGCGTTCTGCCCCCGTAAATAATGACAGCCAGGCAACCACAGGCTGAGCTACCTAGTCCCGTAGGCTGCAAGTCTGGAGTTTATCCTGTTCACATGTAGGGTGGCTGCTAATTCCTTCTCCCTACTCCATGGAGCGAGCCTGCTTCCCCCCTCCCGAGGACCCTTCCCCATCCCAGGAATCGGTCTCAGGACCTTCTGCCCTCTCTGTGGACCCAGATGTCAGGGCACTGAGTGCCGGGTGCACTGCAGAGGGCCCCCCACTCGGTGAGGGTGAGTGGAGCCCCACACCCAGCCAAGCTCTCCAGGCTGCGCTCCGCCCAGACGGCCAGCGGTCGGGGCTTCCTGCTGGTGGCCACAGGGCTCTCTTTGCACGCTGGTGCCACGGACACGCGTGGCCCTAGAGTTGAGTCTGACTCAGCGTGTGGAGGGGAACTGTGCTCCCCAGGGTTGGCATTGGCTGCTGTTTGGGGAGTCTGTGGCCAGGACTTTCTTCTGCAGCATCTCTGGCTGGACTTGAACCCCCAACTCTTCAGTTCGCAGTGAAGCACTTGCGTCACCCAAGGACTCCTTTCGTGCCACGAACTCAAGGGAAAACAGGAAGAAAACAGCCCGGTCATCCCTTGTCCCCTGTGCTCAGATTGTAGTCCCTGAAGTGCCCATGGCCAGAGATAGAGCTCAGGTTCACCCACCGGTTCATCCGCAAGGTTACTTACCTCAAGGGTGGTGGGTGCTTGCTCCTGAGTGTCATCCAACCCCTGTCATCGAGTCCATGATGACTCCCCGTGACCCTGTAGGACCGAGTGGAACTCCGTGTGGTTTCCAAGGATGTCGGACTTCGTGATAGCAGACTGCCCCGTCTTTCTTCTTCGGAAAAGCTGCTGGGTGCGAATTGCTGATCTTTCAGCGAGCAGCCCTAACGCTTAACCCACGGTGCCACCAGGGCTCTGTGTCCCCGTGTTTACCCAACTCTAGGAACGCTGTGTTTCTTGGGCACCATTCCCTCTACTCAGATCCTGTGCTCTCTGCTCTCCAGCTGGGTGTTTCTGCTCACGGTTCAGCCTCGGATTAGATGTCACCTCTTCTAGAAGTTCCCCCCAGCTCCCTGGCCCTGGTTTCGGTCTCTGGCGTGGAAGCTTTCCCTAGTCAGCTTGGCTGTAGCCCTCCAGACTTTTGAAATTGCTTTTGATCTGTGGTCTCCATGATCCCACTTTCATTACCCGCTCAGCCACTGTCTCTCCGCCTAAGAAAGTGGGACCCCTTCTGCAGCCACGCCTTTGGTACGTGCTGGAGATGTAGCCTCCCCCCTACCACGGCCTGGTCTGCTCTCGAGTGTTCCTCCTGGCTAAGAGAGTGTTCTGAGAGATTACTGATCCCGGCATTAAACCTCAGGTGGGCTGGTGGGGAAGTCATGCATACGAAGACTCTGAAGACCCTTCCTCCTATCCTGCTTGCTTAACCTTCGGAGTGATTTCCCTCCCAACAGAGGCCTCATACACCCTCACCTCACTGCCCACCCAGTCCTGCTCCAGTCCTCGTTCAGACTATAGTGTCAATGACTGACCATGGCTTAAGGGGTTACCTTTCTCTAGCATGTGTGCATTTCAAGAGGGAGGGGCCGCGGCAGATGGGGAGTGGTTCTGAGCAATGGGCTTTGGATTCGGACACCAGACAAGGGGTGTTGCACCGCACCTTGCTCATCTGTATAATGGGGCTGCTCACCAGACTGCCCTGTAAGGGTTCGATGAGGTGGTCTACCACTTGCTCCTGTCACTCAAGTTTTATTGGGACAGAGATGGCCATTCGTGGAACTACAGCGTGTGGTGGTTGTTCTAAGGAGACATGGCTGTGCAGTGGTTCAGCACAGGGCTGCTGGCTGAAAGGTCAGGGTTTTCTGGGGGAGGAAGAGGTAGCAGTCAGTGTCCATTAAGATTACAGCCACGATTCTGCTCTGCGGATTTGGCTTATGCTTTGGTTTTCTGGCTGTTTGGTGCTTCAGCAACAAGGCTGAGAGTTGCAAAAGACACTGGATTTTCCCAAAATATTCCCCCAAATCCCCAAATAGTTGCTAGCTGGTCTTTTTTCAGGAAAATGTTGGCAACGCTTGGATTCCATAGTTCAAATTAATAAACCCCAAACCCACTGCGATCAGGTTGGTTCTGACTCACGCTCTACAGGGGTTCTGAGACTGTGTGTTTCCACAGAAGCGGATGGCCTCCACTCTCCCCCACAGGGGGGCGAGCAGGTTTGAATCACCAGCCTTGCCAGTGAATGGCTCTCTGGGGGCACTTTAGGGTAAGGGTTGTACTGCTCACCTGCATGTCAGTGGTTCAAACCGACCCACATGTACACCAGCCTTCTCATTCACACCAAACTCACTGCCATCAAGTCCAGGCCGGCTCATAGTGACCCCTAGAGGACAGAGTCGAACTGCCCCTGGGAGTTTCCGAGACGTAACTTTTTATGGGAGTAGGAAGCCTCATCTTTCTCCTGACGAGTGGCTGATAGTTTTGAACTGCTGATCCTTTGGGTGAGTGGCCCAATGCATATCCACTATGCCACCAGGGCTCCTTTAAACTAACCTGGTAACTACCCCTAATACAGGGCCATGACAAGTCCTAATCAACTTGATGGCAGTGGGCTCGGTTTCAGTTTAGTTCAATAAATAAAGGAGCCCTGATGGCCCTGCGGGTTAGGTGCTGGGCTGATAACTTCAAGGTTAGTGGTTCAAACCCACTAACCATTCCTGAGGAAAAAGTTGAGGCTGCCTGCCAGCATAAAGATTTACAGCCTCTATTGGAAAGATGATTACGGTAGATTAAAATGATCAATGGTTAAAATCTTGTCATTTGCTTTCCCTTTGTTATACTTTGAGTTTGATCTGGTTTTTAGTATTTTCCACTTTTCCCCCTCCAAATTGGGGCTTATCTCTGTTGTATTTTGTTATTGTTGGTAGTGTTCTTGACTCTGATTAGCATTTTTCTAAATTTTTCGGTATATGAAACCCAGGTTGGGTGAGCTTACAGAGACAATAACTAGACTAAGGGTTCCTGGGGAGTCCAGGAGGGGAGGTTAGGGTGGGGGGATCTGGGGAGCTGATATCAAGGAGTACAAGAAGGAAGACATTTTGCTGGAAAATATTTGTTGTAGTGATTGTACAACACTGCTTAATATGAATGAACTATTGAATGGTATGAAGTCTGGATTATGTCCTAATAACATGGTTGGGGGAGGGGAAAGGTGATTAATAAAAGAAATCTCAACTTCAGTGAAAAAAAAGTTAACACTATATTAAAAAAAAGTTGCAGCGTCAGAAACCCCGTGTAGGGTCGCTGAGTTAGAAGCAGGTGGATATTTGTGCTTTGGTGAAGTAAATGTGCTGGTGAGATTGGAGGCCCCTGGCTGTGCTTCGGAAGGACTGGACAGTGTGGACACACTCCAGGAGCCCCTAAGACGGTCCTACCCAGGCCATCACAGACCACGATTTTCCTTCCTTTACCAGCATGTGGTCACCCACCGCCACCTCTGAGTGTTAGAGCAACCTGTGAGATCACCCCTTTGTCACGAGAGAGGAGACCGAGGCTTGGGGAAGGGAAGGGGCTTGTCTGAGGACCCAGTGGGAGATAGGAGCCAATGGGCCTGGAACACAGGCTTCCCAGTCCCCAGGCCACAGCTCATTCCCCGACTCACAGGCTCAGGCTTCCCCCCCAGCAGAAAAGGGTGAGGTCCTGCCCTCCCTTCAGTGTATGGGGGTCCTCCCATGGGTCTAACGCTGTCTTTCCCTCTGGCTTCCAGCCTTTGGCCCCGGCGACCTTCCCAACCTGCTGGGCCTGGTGGGGGACCCGCTGGGCACCGCGGAGCGGAAGCGGCGCCACGCCAAGCCAGGCAGCTACAGCATGGAGGTGCTGCTGGTGGTGGACGACTCGGTGGTGCGCTTCCACGGCAAGGAGCATGTGCAGAACTACATCCTCACCCTCATGAACATCGTGAGTGCCCCGCGACTCCCAGGGGTAGAGCGGACTGCTCCCCAGCCTGCTGCTGCTGGGAGGGGTCTGGGGGAGGCATGCCCTTGGCAACCAGTTCCCCACTGAAGTGGGCCTGCGCCGGTCTGATGTCAGCACCCAGGTCTGCCTGGGGCTCTCGGCTGGACACCCCTGTAATAAGGTGGCCCCCAGGCCATCTACAGCAGCTCCTGGCAAGGTGGAGCCTGCGGACATATTCAGGACCCAGTTAGACAGTGCTCGGGGCCTTGCTTCTGGTAGAGTTGACCGGACATTCCTAGCCTTACCACCTGAAGAAAATGTCTGCTATAAGGAGGGGGAGACTCACCCAGGGGCTGAGGATAGGGGTGGGGATCCTGGGGCCTTTCAGGGACCCCACACTGGTATCTGCCCATGAGTTTGTTGGAAAGGTTAAATGAACTTTGAAGGGTCAAATGTTTAGCACATGGAACATTCAAGCAATGCTTTCTATGATCATTATCATCTGGTTTGCATGTCATGTGTAAGTTGACATTTATCTCTTTACCTAAATGTGAGTCCCTTGAGGGCAGAGGGTAGGAGTTTGAGTCCCAGCACAAAGCAGCCATTGAGCACAGTGTTTCTCTGAAGACTCTCACAGGCTTGTCCGGAGTCATGGCACCTGGTAGGTGATCCGTGAGGGTGGGAGTAAAGTGTGGCTGGGACACGAGCAGTGATCAGCATGGGGTTTCAGCTGGCGATATTTGAATCGATCAGGGGCGGGTGGTGCCACCCAAACAGGCTCCAATGCCAGGCGCCCCAGAGAAGGGTGGGCGTCAGAAAGCCTGTTCCTCGCCGACTCCTGACTTGGAAGCGGCTATTCTTCTTCCCCTTGTACCTGGCATGCGGTTAGGGACCCAGCGGGCAACGGCTACAGCTTGGAGCTGTTTGAGAGAGGTCAGGGGAGGGGGAGAAGGGATATGGGCATGAACACATCCAGCACACTTGACACTCCCCCCCCACACCCCCAGCCCCCACCCCAGATTCTCTGCAAGTTCTGGGCTTGGCCTGAGACGACACAGCTGAGCACGACTGGCCTGAGTGAGTGGCCCAGCGAGGTCTTGGTTGGGCCCTGGGGCAGCAGGCGTAGGGAGGGGGAGGGAAGACCCCTGGGAGGCCTCGGGTGCCAGGAGCCTGGGTCGTGGGGGTTCTGAAGCTGGGGAAAGAGAACCCAGGGGTGTGAGCAGGCCGTAGATGAAGCCCCCGAGTCCTTCAGTTCTTTGAGAGATACTTCTCAGGAAAAGGTTAAGTTCATGAAGCTCCTTCAGAAATACAAGCAACTATGTGATGAAGAATTTACTCCACTCATAGATCAGAGAACAAACCCCCCCGCAGAGGCTGTAACCAGCTGGAAAGAGAACCCCCAGGGCAGCACCATTGACGAAAGGACGTCAGAAGTTTGTGGGGGAAATTCTCTTATCTTTTCATGCAATCTTCCCGTGAACTTATTGAAGCCTTCTCATGTTACTGGTGCCAGTTACCATCAAGTTGACCCAACTCAGGGCAGCTCCATTTGTGAAGTGAGCTCCACAGGGTCTCTCTCCTTCAACTCTTTGTGGTGACTTGAGTAAAGGTTTCCAAAGCAAACCAGTTTTCCAGTCGACAATTCATACACATTTTGTTCCATTTCATTGATTGCAATGCTTGCCATGTCATCTCCCTCATCCTACTTTTACCGTGTTTCCCGTTCCATTCCACCTTTCCCACCCCCCCATCCCATCCTGCCTTCTGAGCTCTGTCCTTGGGTGGATGCGCTTCTCTGGTCTCACCTGGTTGATTGGTATCAAGAGTGCCGTACCTCCCTGGCATTGTGGAATTGTTCAGTTTATAGACCTCTCTATTGTTTGGCTGAAAATTGAGCCATAGGGGTGAGTTCAATGCCAGGCTTGAAGGTGGCACAGGGCACAGTCCTGGGGGTTCCACCAGTCTCTCTCCAACCCATGCACCGGCTCTTTTTCATGATGGTGAGTTTGGGTCCATGTTCTCCTCCCGCTCTATCCAGGACCGCCACTGGGATCCCTTTCAGAGCAGCGGGTAAGTGGGCACCAATGAGCCCTTCTGGTCTCGGGGTCGTGGAGGCTGGGGTATGACGGGCCCATTCATCCTTTGGACTGCTTTTGTTTCTCGTTGCTTTTCCTCGCTCTGGACGGGGAGAGACTCATGATCGCACTCCACCCACTGCGTCTTCAATGGCTGACTTTGCAAACAGATGCCAGGCCTTTCTTCTGACATGCCTCCAGGTGGACACAACCTCCGAGTTTTAGTTAGCAGCCACGCCACCCAGGAACTCCTGGAAACATCAAGCTCATGAATATGAAAACAAACGGGAAAATGGAGGCAAAAAACATGCCTCCTACCCCTTATTGGGTAGGAGGGAAGATAATTCAGCCCTCACTGGAGGAAAGAGTATTTGTATGTCTATAGAGGCCTGCACTTCAGTCAGTTGGCAAGGATTCCATTTTTCAAGCAGCCAAGACCTCTTGAGAGTGTTGAAGAGCGAGGATGTCACTTTGAGGACTCAGGGGCACCTGCCCCAAGCCATGATGATATTTTCAGTCACCTCAATGCTTGTGAAAGTTGGGCACTTTGACAGTAAGGAAGACGGATAATCCATCCATTGGAATTACGGTGCTGGCAAAGGCTATGGCGAGTACCACGGACTGCCCAAAGGGCAGACAGATTTAACTTGGAAGAAGTGCAGCCAGAAGGCTCCTGGGAGGCAAGGATGGCAAGACTTCATCCCGTGTGCTTTGGAAGTGGAGTCGGGAGAGACCAGTCCCTGGCGGTGGACGTCTGCTCGGGGAAGTTGTGGGGCAGCGAACAAGAGGAAGGCCGTCGACAAGAGGGACGACCCCGTGGCTTCCTCCATGGCCTCCAGCTGGACGGTGAGGCTGGCACAGGCCGAGCGGATGTCGTTCTGCTGGACGGAGAGGGCGAGGGTCGCTACGAGGCAGGGCCACTTGACAGCACCTGGCAACAACGAGGGCATTCCTTGTAAAGTGCAGCGCCTCGCGGCTGTAAAGTTCTACCAGAATTGGAATCTGGTAGGGGGAATGGGACTGCGGACAAAGCATTGTTTCCACTCAAGTACAGACTCCCCCACTCCCATCCCCTTTATCAAATGTCAAGATCCGGACCGGGTATAAGAGAGCCATGGTGGGTGCCAGGTGGCAGGGGGCTGATGGTTTTTCTCATTTAAAAATGGAGCCCTCAGCTCCTGGATCAGGGCGGCGGGCCCACCTTGGAGACTACCTCTGAAAGAGAGTTTCCAACAGCTGCGAGGTGAGACTGTCCCCCAACCGGGGCTGCCCTTGCTACCTGCTCTGACTCCCTGGCTTCTGGGTGGGGCGTTGGGGTGTGAGGAGAACACTGGAGTGCAGAGTGGCTGAGGGCGGGTCGTCGAAGGCAAACAACCATGCGCTCTTTCTGGGCGATGTCCTGCCTTCTTTGTCTCATCTTTTAGAGAAGCCCTCTAGTCTTGGGTCCCTCCACGAAGACATCTACTGCTCCCCGCCTCCTTTAGCTTCTTTTAGTTGGGTGCACATGCAGTAGGTCAGTGGCTCTGGGGGAGTGGAACAGGTTTTGGGAGACCCAGGTCTTTGCTGTTACCCATTCACTTGTGAAGAGCCAGGTCCTGAGCTGTCTCAGTGGGCCCCAGGCCCCAGGCAGGGTGAGGTACTAGTCAGGGCCCTTGAGGTGGTAAGTGACAGACATCCGTGGACAATTCACAGCACCTTCAGCCGGAGGGGATTTGTTGGAGGGAGCTGCTCGCGGTACCACAGACTCAGCGAGACGTGAGCGGCAGGGCGGATCCTGGGGCCACTGGCACAGGGGGACTTTCTCCATCTCGGCATGGCCACTAGAAGCTCTACAATCCCGCAGGAGGCAGGCTTTCTCTGGACGGCAGCAGGGGAGACAACCGCCAAACACAGATTCCTACGCTTCCTGCTCTTAAGACTAAAGACAGAAGGGCTGTTTCCTGTCCTGACACCTTAGGCTTGGCCTGCGTAGCGGAGGAGGTTGCCCTCCGCACACTAGCTGCTGTGGCTGGAATGTTGTCTTGGGTCGTAGCTGGCGTGTGTTTGGGGTGAGGTGGACCAGGAGCTGTTCCGGGAAAGCAGGCAGTGAAGCTCGAAGCCAAGAACAGCTTCCATTGGCAGGACGCAGAGAAACGCAGGCACTCCCGCCACTGCCCGGGTGTGCGCACAGACGCGTGGAATGACGTCATATAACAACCCTCATCAGCCAGACCCTTTAAAACTGTGAGCCCATTTACTCGGCCTCACAGTAACCCTCTAGAGAGGGGGACCACGCCTGGTTCTTACTCAGGAACCGAGGCGCAGAGAGCTGGCTGTGAACTGGTCCCCCAGCTGCTGAGCTGGACTGGCTCTGTCGCACTGCAGAGCCCCCCGCCTTCTGCAGCCTCCCCACAAGCCTCCTTCTCTAGTCTGCGGCCAGAGCTGTCATCCCCAGTGGGTGGCCCAGGCCAGTAGGGGACTCAGGAGTGGCAGTACGCGTGTGCCTGGTGCTAGTCCCGGAGCTTCCTGCAAGGAGTGGGTACCCAGATGGGGATTCTGGGGTGCTGTGTGCCCTTGGCAAGGCCCTCATTAGACCCACTGGGAGGCTGGCTAGGTTCAAAGCTGAAGGTGGAGGTAGGGGCTCCTGGGACAATGGCAACAGATGAGACCTGCCTCTGAGATGCGACACCGAAGGCACAGAAGGGCGATTGGGAGAGTGACAGGAACTTGTTCCTCGAGTAGAATTCCACCTTCCTTCTCTTAACAACCTCCCAGGACTTGGGGGAAGAGGGGCGGAGCGGTCTTCTCTGAGGTTCCCGAAGGTGCTGTGCGGCATGTTCTCCTCATCACTGATTTCCCAGGTGGATGTGACAACAGAAAGGGCCTTGGGATGGGCAAAGGGTGCAGCCGAACCCTGGTTACTCTGGAGAGCCGCCTCCTTGAGGCTGT